ATTTGTACACGAAGACACGATTGTCTGTCTGTCCTGTTAAAGTACACCAGGTTAAAATATATCAGACTCCATATATACAGGTATAATATACAGTATATTGTATATTCTTATCTATATTTCCTCTTACATACATACTGTACAGTACTTTAACCTTCCCTGTTTCATACCATCAATCACTCCCCCACCACCTTCCTGTCATAACCCCACTCCTCTCTTCACATCACTACACACTCCTCTCTCATCTCCCTCTTCCCTCTTATCTACGTCCCACTTTTTTTTCTCTCTAATTTCATCCTCTCATAATGCCCTTCTCTCCTCCCTACTCACAACCCCTCTTACCTCTCTCATCTCCCCCACCCGCAACCCCTCTCACCTACCCACCCATAACCCTCCTTCCCTTCCCACCCATAACCTCCTTCTCTTCCCACCCATAACCCTCCTTCCCTTCCCACCCATAACCCTCCTTCCCTTCCCACCCATAACCCTCCTTCCCTTCCCACCCATAACCCTCCTTCCCTTCCCACCCATAACCCTCCTTCCCTTCCCACCCGCATCTCCTCTCACGTACAACCCCACTCACAACTCCTCACTCACACCTCCCCACTCACATCTCCTACCTACATCCCCTCTAATAACCTCCCTCTCCTATTTTATTCTTCACTGCTCCTTTATCTTATTCTACACCTCAATCTTCCATAATATCCCTCTCCCACCCTGGCGAATCATCTTACACGTCCGAGAACACGACAAGTAATCCGAGAAACTGTACCAGAACCACGCGAAGGAAGGCCTCGTCTCCTTGGGTACTTTACTCCTTCCCTCTCCCTCTTTCTGTTGTTCTTCCTCCTGCTGATATTGCTCCTCCTCCTTCTCTTTCTCCTCCTTCTCCCTTTCCTCTTCCTCCTACTCCTCATCTTTCTCTTTCCTAATCGGTCATCCAGTGTCCTTTTCCTTCCTTTTCCTTAATGTATCTTCCTTCCTTCCTCCCTTCCTATTCGCCCACCGAGAGTCCCCTTTCTAAAAGCGTTCTTCATCTTTTCTCTTCCCACATTCTTCTGCTGATCCTCCTTTCCTCCTCCGCCCCTCCTCTTCCCCCATCCTCCCCCCTCCTCGTCCCCCCTCCTCCCCTCCTCTTCTCCCCCTCCTCTTCTCCCCCTCCTCCTCCTCCTCCTCCTCCTCCTCTTCATCCCCTTCCTCCTCCTCCTTCTTCCATACGTTCACTCAATGGCCCCGTCTTTGCGTAGCTCCTCTCCCTTCCTTCCTTCATTTCTACACCTCCTCCCCCTCCTCTTTCTTCCTCCCACTAGAGGGCCCACCACGAAAGTATTCCCCAAGAACTACTCTGACCTTAGCCTCTACTGTTGTCCCTCGAGATAGAACAGCTTAAACTAAATACAATAACAAAAAAACAATCTCAAGTGGTTTCAATTCCTACTACACAATGGATAGTTCTGGTAATGAAGCAAGGAATATTTAAGCTAACAATAACATTCATCCATCACAAACAAAACAAGTTGACCCCCATTCACGCAATTCCCTACTACAGTTCATGAAGGCATTAACTTCTTTTTTTTAATATCAAGTTTTATTGAAAAATGTCATTATGTGCTTTCGGTGCCTGTATCTGACAACCGGGGTTAGTGTGCTGATTTGTAAACCCTACTCTGTAATCGTTTTTGCGCTACCGCTCACAGAATGAGTGTGTGGTGCTGTCATAACCGCTGCAGCAGCAAAATCAAATAAAAATCGCCGCACCCACACACCACTACAACACCCACACACCCCACTACAACACCACACACCACTGCAGCGCCACACCACTACAACGCCACACCACCTGGCGCCACGCCTGCCGGCTGACGCCCGCACCACTTTCTGGCACCTGCACCGCGCACACCGCTACAGCGCCCGCACGCCACTCTGGCCACGCCCACTGACGCCTGCTGCTTTCTGGCCTTACGCCACTTTCTGGCCATGCCCGCAACACTCCCTGACGCCCCACTCACTGACCTGCACCACTTTCTGGCCACGCCTGCCACACCTGCAGCGCCTCACACCACTCTGTTGCCTGCACCACTGCCTGCGCCACTCTGGCCACTGGCCACACCCTGACACCCCACCACTTTCTGGACCTACACGCCACTGCAAGCACCTACCTCTGCGCCTACACACCACTGGCCGCCTGCACGCCCTTTCTGGCCCACACACCACTTGCCACCTGGCGTCCCACCCCTGACCCGCCGCTTTCTGTTCACGCTACGCAGCCACCACCGCGCCGCCACTTTCTGCGCCACTCTGACCGCTTGCTACACGCCACCCACTCACCGCCTGCGCCCACACTCCATCGCCTGACGCAGTTCGTTGCGCCACTGCACACACACTGACCCACGCCTCCGCACCGCCTCCACACGCCCCTCTACACCTGCACCACTGTGCCAACACCCACACACGCCACTACACACCTGACACCTACACGCCACTCTGCTTCCACTGTCCTGTTGACCACCACTACGGCACCTACACCTCTGTACCCTGTGCCTGCAACACCTACACGCTCTTCTGTACCTACACACGCCACTCTGTACCCACGCCACTTTCTGTGCCACTACGCAGCACCTCCGCCTACGCCGCCCACACGCCACTGCCACCCACACCATCTGCACGCCACACCCATCAGCACGAACCAGTTTCAGTGCAAGACCACTTTCTGCTGCCACACACAGCTACACCTCTGACCCTACCAGCCCACACGCACCACTACTGCCGCTCTGCGCCGCTACAACGCCTCCACGCCGCCTACAGCGCCACGCCACTGCCTCTCTGCACCCCTCTGGCCTTACACGCCTGTCTGACCCACGCCACTTTCGCGCCTGCGCCAGTCTGGCGCCCGCACGCCACTTTCTGGCCTACGCGCCTCTGGCGCCCCACGCACCCCTACGCCTGCACCGCTTTCTGACCTGCACGCCACTACCAGGCACCTGCGCCACTTTCCTGGCTTGCCCACGCCACTTTCTGGCGCCCACGCCTCTGCAGCGCCTCTGCGCCACTTTCTGGCACGCCCACGCCGCTCTGGCTTCCACGCACCACTTTCTGGCCGCCCACGCCACTGCAACCTCGCACCACTGCAGCGCCTGCGCACCGCTACAGCACGCCCACGCACCACTGCAGCGCCTGCACCACTTTCTGGCGCCTGCACGCCACTTTCAGCGCCTACGCACCACTTCTGTCCTGCACGCCACTCTGTACCCACGCTGCAGCGCCCACGCCAGTGAGCGCCCACACGCCACTTCCAGCGCCTGCACCACTTTCTGTGCCACGCACCGCTGACGCCCACGCCACCAGCCTCTGCTGTTCCTGACCGCTCTGTACCTACACGCCACGCGCCTGCGCGCCACTGCAGCGCCTGCCTGCTCTGACGCCCACCGCCACTGCAAGCGCCTGCGCGCCACTCTGGCGCCACGCCACTTTCTGGCCGCCTACGCACCACTTCTGGCGCCTGCACCACTTTCTGGCGCCCCGCACCACTTTCCACCAGCGCCTTACTCGCACCGCTGGCGCCCACACGCCACTTTCTGGCCTGCACTGTTCTGGCCGCCTGCCACTTTACCAGCGCCGCACGCCACTTTCTGAGCGCCTGCACGCCACTCTGAGCGCCCACGCGCCACTGCAAGCGCCTGCGCGCCGCACAACGCCTGCACGCCACTTCCAGCTTGCCCACACCGCGCAAACGCCCACGCACCACTTTCTGGCCGCCTGGCCACAGCGCCTGCGCCACTTTCTGAGCGCCCACACCACTTTCAGCGCCTGCGCCATCTGGCCGCCCGCACCACTGGCACCTACGCGCCACTTTCTGACGCCACACCATGATGCCCACGCAGCACTTCTGACGCCTGCACGCCACTCTCTGGCCACTGCGCCACTTTCTGGCTGCTTACGCGCCGCTGCAGCGCCACGCGCCGCTGCGACGCCTGCACGCCGCTGCAAGCCGCCTACGCGCCGCTTCTGACGCCTGCGCGCCGATACTGACGCCCACACGCCTGGCGCCCCACGCCGCCTGACGCCTGCAACGCCGCTTTCTGGCGCCTGCGCACCGCCTGGCGCCTGCGCGCCGCTTTCTGGCGCCTGCACGCCACTTTCTGACGCCACGCCGCGCCGCGGCACGCCTGCACGCTGCGGCACCTGCACGCCACTCTGTGCCTGCACGCCACTCACAGCACCTGCACCACTCTGGCCGCCCGCACCCTCTGACGCCCACGCCTACTGCACTGCACGCCGCTTTCAGCCGCCCACACGCCACCGCACCGCCTGCCCCACTGCAGCGCCTGCGCACCACTTTCTGGCGCCTGCGCACCGCCAGGCGCCCACACACGCCACTCCGCCGCCCACGCACCACTTTCTGTGCCTGCGCCCACTGCAAGCGCCCACGCCACTTTCTGGCCGCCTGCGCACTGGCTGCCTGCGCCACTTTCCTGACGCCTGCGCCACTGCCAGCGCCTGCACGCCACTTTCCGCCACGCCCACCACCCTGACGCCCACACCACTGGCGCCTGCACGCCGCTTGCGCCCACGCACTGCTGCCCACACGCCACTTCTGTCCACGCCACTTTCCTGGCACGCCCACACCACTTTCTGGCGCCTGCTGCACCACTTCTGGCGCCCACACACGCCCTATTGCCCACACGCCACTGCAACCCACACGCTTTCTGGCGCCTGCACGCCGCCTGCCAGCGCCACGCACCGCCTGCGCCACACGCCACTGCAGCGCCCACGCCACTGCAGCCACGCCTGCACCATCAGCCCCTGAGCCACCAGTTCAGTGCAGAGCCACTACAAGCACGCACACACACTGGCTTCTGAACGCCTGCACGCCACTAATGCGCCTCTGACGCCGATGCAACGCCACACCGCACTCTGACGCCTGCGCCAGTGCAAGCGCCTGCACGCCACTGCGGCCTGCACGCCAGCCACCAGCACCCACACGCCACTGACGCACCACGCCAATGCAACGCCTGCGCCAATGCAACGCCTGCGCCACTACCAGCACCTGCACGCCACTTTCTGGCGCCTGCACCAATGCAACGCCTGCACGCCACTGGGAACGCCTGCACGCCACTGCAACACCTGCACGCCGCCACCAGCGCACACGCAATACCAGCGCCACACCACTACAGCGCCTGCACCGCCAATGCAACGCCCACGCACCGCTACAGCACCCACGCCACTGCAAGCACCTGCACGCCACTTCTGGCGCCTGCGCGCCATGCAGCGCCTGCACGCCACTGCAACACCTGCACGCCAATGCAACGCCTGCACGCCAGGCAACGCCCCACACGCCACTCTGGCACCCACGCCAGTACCAGCGCCCGCACGCCGCACCAGCGCCCCGCACCAGTACCAGCGCCTGCGCCACTGCAACGCCTGCACGCCACTTTCTGGCGCCCACGCACTTTCTGGCGCCCACGCCGCTGCAGCACCTGCGCCAGTCACCAACGCCTGCGCCAGTGCAAGCGCCTGCCGCCACCAGCGCCCACGCACGCCACTGTGCCCCCGCTGCAACGCCTGCACGCCAGTACCAGCGCCCACCACTTTCTGGCCCGCCTGCGCACGCCGCTGCAACGCCCGCCACTGCAAGCGCCTGCACGCCAGTACCGAAGCGCCTGCGCACCAGTACGCCTGCACGCCAATGCAGCGCCTGCTGCGCCACTGCAAGCACCCACACCAGCAGCGCCTGCACACGGCAACCTTTACGCCTGCAAGCGCCTACGCACCGCCTGACGCCTGCACTTTCTGCTGCCCACCGCATCACCAGCGCCTCTGCTGCCAGCGCCACACCACTGCAGCCGCCTACGCACCACTTTCTGGCGCCTGCTGCACCACTGCAACCCACGCACCTGACGCCCCACGCACCACTTTCTGTGCCACACGCCGCACCAGGCGCCTGCGCGCCACTTTCTGGCGCCTGCTGCGCCGATGCCAGCGCCTGCACGCCACTTCTGGCCTACCGCTTTCTGACGCCCCGCACCGCGCCGCAGCGCCTGCACGCCGCCACCAGCGCCTGCGCGCCACTTTGCCTGCGCACCGATGCAACGCCCACGCCACTCGCGGCGCCCACGCACCGCTACCAGCCGCCTGCACGCCACTTTCCACCAGCCCCTCACGCGCCACTCGCAGGCGCCTGCCGCGCCTTTCTGAGCGCCCGCACGCCAGTCCACCAGCGCCTGCACGCCGCGCCACGAGCGCCTGCACGCCACTTTCTGACGCCCACACGCCACTTTCTGACGCCCACACGCCAGTGCAAGCGCCACGCCACTGCAGCGCCCACGCCACTTTCTGACGCCACGCACGCCACTTGCCAAGCGCCTGCACGCCCCTCACAGCGCCTGCACGCCACTTTCTGACGCCCACGCCACTTTGACCTGCACCACTGCAAGCGCCTACACGCCACTCCTGACGCCCACACGCCACTTTCTGCGCCCACGCCGCCTGCAACCGCCCACGCACCACTGCAAGCCGCCACCTCTGCACCACTCTGGCGCCTGCACGCCACTTTCCTGGCTTCTGCGCCAGTCTGGCCGCCTGCCTCAGTCGCGCCCACGCATACTCTGACGCCCGCCGCACTCTCCTGACGCCTGCCGCACCACTGCAAGCGCCTGCACGCCGCTGCAACCGCCACGCCATGACGCCTGCACGCCGCCTGAGCGCCTCTGCGCCACTGCAAGCCGCCCCACACGCCGCTGCGCCCACACGCCACGTACCAGCGCCCGCGCCGCCTCCACCAGCGCCTGCGCCACTTTCAGCCGCCCACGCCACTTTCTGAGCGCCCCACGCACCACTGCAGCGCCTGCACGCCACTGCAACGCCACACCACTTTCTGAGCGCCTCGCACCACTTTCTGTGCCTGCACGCCACTTCTGGCGCCTGCACCGCTTTCTGACGCCTGCGCGCCACTTTCTGACGCCCGCACGCCACTCTGGCACTGCACGCCACTGCAGCGCCTGCACGCCACTGCAGCGCCTACGCACCATTCTGACCGCCCACGCACCGCTTTCACAGCGCCTGCACCTTCTGACGCCACGCCGCTACCAGCCTTACACACGCCACTCGGCGCCCACGCACCACTTTCACCAGCGCCTGCACCGCCGCCAGGCGCCTGCGCGCCACTCTGAAGCCGCCCACACGCCGCCTCTGAGCGCCCACACGCCGCTTTCTGGCCGCCCGCACCACTTTCTGACGCCCGCACCGCTGCAAGCCGCCCACGCACCGCTGCAAGCGCCTGCGCCACTGCAACGCCCGCGCGCCACTCCTGAGCGCCTGCACGCCACTTTCTGGCTTCCACGCCGCACAGGCGCCTACTGCGCCACTGCAACGCCTGCACTCAGTCTGTACCTGCGCCACTCAGACGCCCACGCGCCTGACGCCACGCCACTTTCCTGACGCCCGCACCACTTCCTGACGCCCACGCCGCCTGACGCCACACGCCACTTTCCTGCCTGCCTGCACGCCACTCTGTGCCTGCCACGCCGCCTACTACTGGCGCCTCTGCCACTCACCGCCACCATCTCTCTGACGCCACGCCACTACCGGCTTCCACGCGCCATCCTGGCCGCCCGCACGCCACTTTCTGGCGCCCTCTGCGCCACTGCAACGCCTCTGCGCCACTTTCTGGCGCCTGCGCGCCACTTTCACGAGCGCCTGCGCCACTCTGACGCCACGCGCCACTTTCGGCGCCTCTGCACGCCACCACCACTGGCCACGCCGCACCAGCCGCCTACCGCCGTCCTGACGCCCCACCGCACCACGCTCACCAGCGCCCCGCGCCACTCTGGCACGCCTACCGTCCTGGCGCCACGCCACTGCGACGCCTGCGCCACTTCACGGCGCCTACGCACCACTTTCTGAGCGCCCACGCCGCCTGACGCCTGCACACCCACTCTGAGCGCCACCGCCGCCACTGCAACGCCCACGCACTGCTTTCTGGCTTGCCACGCCACTTTCTGACGCCCACACGCCACTCTGGCTTTCTCTGCCCCGCTGCAAACGCCTGCGCCAGTACCAAGCGCCCACGCCACTGCAGGCGCCTCCCGCGCCGCCACCAGCGCCTGCACGCCACTGCAAGCGCCTGCACGCCACTGCAGCGCCTACACGCCCACGCGCCACTTTCTGGCGCCACGCCGCTTTCCTGACCTTACGCACCCTTTCTGGCCTGCTTGCACCACTTTCTGGCGCCTGCACGCCTTTCTGGCCGCCCACGCACCACTGCAGGCGCCTGCGCACCACTTCCTGGCGCCACACGCCACTTTCTGGCGCCTGCACCACTTTCACAGGCGCCTGCACGCCACTTCTGACGCCCACGCCACTGCAACCTCACGCCACTTTCACCGGCGCCCACGCACCGCTACGGCGCCTGCGCCACTTCTGATGCCTGCACGCCACTCTGGCGCCACACGACGCTTTCTGGCGCCTCACGCCATACCCAGCGCCTCACGCGCCACTCTGAGCGCCCCACGCCACTCTGGCGCCTACACCGCTTTCTCAGCACCCGCACGCCACTTCTGTGCCTGCGCCGCTACTGGCCTCCACACTTCTCTGACGCCACACGCCACTTTCTGACGCCCACACGCCACTTTCTGGTTCCTCACGCGCCACCCACCAGCGCCTGCACGCCATCCGGTATACTACACACCAGTTCTGGCCCACCGCCTTCTGGAGCCTGCACGCCAGCTTCTGGCGCCCCGCACGCCGCTGCGGCGCCTGCGCACCACTTTCTGGCCCGCCCACGCGCCGCTTTCTGGCCGCCTCTGCGCCACTTCTGACGCCTCGCACCACTGGCCTCTCTGCACCACTCACCAAGCGCCTGCGCAGCTCTGAAGCGCCTGCGCCGCTTTCTGTTGCCACACGCCACCTGGCGCCCGCGCACCGCTGCGACGCCTGCACGCCACTCTGACGCCACGCCACTTTCTGTACCGCGCCACTCTGGCGCCTGCCTGTTCTGGCGCCTCCGCACCACTCTGACGCCGCACGCCGCTGCGGCCACACGCCACTTTCTGGCGCCCACACGCCGCTTCTGGCGCCCACGCACCACTGCAGGCGCCTTCTCTGCGCCACTGCGAAGCGCCTCTGCCTCACTGGCGCCTCTGCGCCACTTTCACAGGCGCGCCACCACACGCCGCTCTGCAGGCGCCTGCTGCACCACCTGCAAGCGCCCACGCCACTCTGTGCCCGCGCGCCACTGCTGACTCTTGCCCCTACAGCGCCTGCACGCCACTTTCTGGCCGCCTGCTGCACCACTTCTGGCCACGCCACTTTCTGGCGCCTGCACGCCACTCTGGCACCTGCACCCTTTCTGGCCACGCTGCAACGCCCACGCCGCTGGCGCCCACACGCCACTGCAAGCGCCTGCACCCTGCAGCGCCTGCACGCACCCTTTCACCGGCGCCTGCGCGCCACTGCAGGCGCCTGCACGCCACTTTCTGGCCGCCTGCACGCCTTTCCTGACACCCACGCCACTGCGCCCACACGCCGCCTGGCGCCTGCACGCCACTACGGCGCCTGCGCCACTTTCCTGACGCCCACGCACCACTTTCTGACGCCCACACGCCCACTGCAGCGCCTGCGCCACTTTCTGGCGCCCACGCCACTCTGTGCACGCCATGCCGACCTACGCACCACTTTACAGCACCCACGCACCACTTTCTGACGCCCACACACACCCTTTCTGGCGCCCACGCCTCTGGACCCACACGCCGCTGCAGCGCCACGCACCGCTCTGCAAGCGCCTCGCCACTTTCCTGACCTTGCACCACTCCTGACCCGCACTCTGACGCCCACTTCCTGTACCCACGCACCGCTTTCTGAAGCGCCTCACGCCTCTGTGCCTGCGCCACTCTGGCGCCCACGCACCACTTTCACGGCGCCTGCGCACCACTCTGGCGCTGCGCCACTCTGGCTCTGCCACTCTGGCCTTCCCACACGCTCTGACGCCCACGCCACTTTCTGGCGCCTGCGCGCCACTCTGGCGCCTGCACGCCACTCACGCCCACACGCACCACTTTCACCGGCGCTCTGCACCGCCATCTCTGCGCCCTTTCTGTGCCCCACTGCTTCGCCTGCACGCCACTTTCTGGCGCCTCACGCCCCTTGCGCCCTTTCTAAGCGCCCACACCTTTCTGTTTCTCTACGCCACTTTCTGAGCGCCCACTGGCCACTTTCTGGCGCACGCCGCTACCAGCGCCTGCCGCCACTTTCTGCAGCGCCCCGCACTCTGCAGCGCCTGCACTGCAAGCACTTACGCGCCACTTTCTGGCCTACACCACTGCAACGCCCGCACGCCACTGCAACCTTACGCGCCACTTTCTGTACCTGCGCCACTACCTGCCGCCTACGCACCATTCTGGACCTGCGCACCACTTTCTGGCGCCACGCACCACTGCACCCGCACACCGCCACTTTCTGGCGCCCACACACCACTTTCTGTGCCTGCACCACTGCGCCCACGCCACCAGCGCCCACACGCCGCCTTCTGACCCACACGCCACTACCAGCACCTGCACGCCCTTCTGTACCCACACCGCTTTCTGACGCCCACACGCCGCCTGTGCCACACCGCTCTGGCCACCCACCTGCTTTCTGACGCCTGCACCAGTACAGCGCCCTACACGCCTTTCTGAGCGCCCGCTCAACCCACACGCCACTCACGACACCGCGCGCCCACTTCTGGCCCCGCGCCAGTGCAACGCCTGCACACCACTCCACCAGCCACCTCACCGCACCACTTCACCAACGCCCACGCCATTTCTGGCGCCTGCACACCACTGCGACGCCCGCACCACTGACACCCACCACTGCAAGCGCCTGCACGCCACTGCAACCGCCTGCACGCCACTACAGCACCTCACGCACCGCTGCCCGCCCACACGCCACTGGCCCCTTTCTGGCGCCTGCGCCACTCACCAGCGCCTACCTGCAGCGCCCACACGCCACTTTCTGGCCGCCCACGCGCCACTGCAGCCGCCTGCGCCACTTTCTGACGCCCACGCCACTGGCCTTCTCTGCGCCGCACCCACGCCACTTTCTGACGCCACGCGCCACTTTCTGTACCCACGCACCACTGCAAGCGCCACGCGCCACTCTGGCGCCTGCACCGCCTGCGCCTACACGCCACTGCAGCGCCCACGCGCCACTTTCTGGCGCCTCACTGCGCCTGGCGCCTGCACGCCACTGCGCCTGCACGCCTCCTGGCCTTGCACGCCACTTTCTGGCGCCTGCCGCACCACTGGACGCCGCACCACTGCTGACGCCCACACGCCACTTCGCCAGCGCCCCGCGCCACTCCGCCGAGCGCCTGCATCTGTCGAAACGCCTGCCACGCCACTGCAGCACCTGCCGCCACTTTCTGTAC